TATATAATTATTAATTAAAGTAATTTCAAATTATTTTGACCAACAAAAATATTTTTATTGCTTATAGTTAATACATAATATTTATTATTTTTTATGACGATAATTTGATTTGATGTATATATTTGTAATGATTTTATTTTTAAATTTTTAAATGATAAAAATAACATTTTTATTAAATATAACACTAATTGATCTAATAAATCTTGATAATTTTTAAATATTTTTATTAAATAAAATATGTTGATACGAAATATCTCGATTTTACTAATTTTTATAATATACATTTAAAGTAAAATTAGTTTCTTAATTATTAATTAATATAATTATTAATATATATATATATATATATATATATATAACTACTAATTAAATATAATTTGAAATTATTAGTTATTTAATATAAATTTTAATCACTTTGGATTTTTATCAACACATCTAAACAGATTATAGTCGTAAAAGAAAACGTAAATAAATAAAAAATAAAATAAAATAAAACAGTGTAGTCTGTTTGGTAATTCCAATTTGATATCATTTTAGATATGATTTTTTTGGTACAATTTTAAAATGTATGAAATAAATTTGATTGACGAATTTCCAAACACGTTAGTAAATAGTAATATTACTTAAGGTTGATTCATGGCACTTTATAGGAATGTAATTGCAGATAAATCTGTACAGTGCAAAATGAAAATGACTCATCAAGTTGTGTCACGACAACTATAAGATTGTAGAAAAGTAAATTGTTTATTCAATTTAAGGTAATCGAAGTTGCCTAGCTTTAAATATTTGTTTTCTATGTATAAAATAAATTATATTAAAAAAATATTGATTTTATGGATTCTTACTTCTCATGTATTCTCACTTCTCACTCTATTTAGATTTACTAGAGGTATTATTTTACTTTCTTGTTTGATAAACCGAAAGAAATTATGGATAATATATTATATAAAGAATTAAGAATTATTTATAAAATGCACGAAACTATTCGATTTTATTATTTCTTACTTATGTTTTTAATTTTTAACTAAAATTTAATAATAAAATGAACTCTTTTTTTTCATAAATTGCAAGGAAGTTAAAAATCATTCTGAAATATAATCATCATTTGACCTTTTTATGAACAAAAAATTGTTATTATAAAGCAGTATGTTTATAGATGAAATATATATTTTATTTTACTTTTATGTATGTTTACAAATATAATTAACAAGTGAAATATTTTTTAAATATTTTAAGCATTATAATTATAAAAAAAATATTAGTATTACCAATCATAATGGAGACATAAATAAAAAATAAATTAAAAAAACAATGAAAATATTATCTTTTCACTACAATATAATATGAATTTCATCAACGAATAAGAAGAAAAATAATTATAAATATCAAATTTAGTATTATAAAAGTATATTATTTACTCTAATAATAAATTAGTTCAATAGATGAATTACCTTTTTAAAAAAATAAAATATATATAAAGACACTAGGTGTCTCAAGTCCTCTAATCTTTTTTTATATATAAACACTTCTATATGTAAAAATAATAATTATTTAATTTGATGTACACATTAATTCTAATAATTTAACTTTTCATAGAAAAGACATGATAATAATTAATAAAGGTCACATACAAAAATTATGTAAAATTATTATTTTGAAATTGTTATTAAGTAATAATAGCTACACATTATTCCACTAATACGGTGCATTCAATGATAAACATCATGCAAGAATGAAATACTTTCTGTAGAGAATAAATAAACACACTAGAAGAGGGGTTGAATAATATATATCAAAAATTCGTATGTTTTTCATAGTGAAATAGTAATATTAGTCAAATGAAACAAGAATAGTAGTTAAATGAAATATTGAATATTTTTATATTGATTCGCCTCAACTACCAAGATTATGTGCAATTCTCAATCTAACCAGATTGAGTTTCATTGTATTTAAATAAAGATATAAATATTCTTTTAACTTCTAGCTCAACTATTAGTATTCTTTGACTTGCCTCTTTAAAAAGTTACCGAAGTATTCTTTTAACAATAAATTTTCACACTTAACAATCCAGTATTCTTTTGTAAACAAGTCTCTCATTCAAAATAAGTATTATTCTTTTATAGACAAGTCTCTCTAAATTCAAAACAAGTATTATTTTAGAAACAAATCTATCCAGACTCAACCTTATAACAATGGTTATAAAGGTTACTCAAATGTTATGTTTATCTCACTTAAACGTTGTACAACCAATTACAAAACAATAAATGTATATAAGAAAGAATAGATTTTTAGAAAGTATTTATATACATACATATATGTATCAATTACAATTACTCTCTCTATCTTTCTTGTATTTTGAATCTTCTTATATAGTAGTTTAGAGAAAATAATTGTTGTAGCACTTTGAGTCTATCTCACATTGTTTTGTTTGTTTTCATGGTCTTCCCTTATGGTGGTAGGTTTAGGGTTTGAGATTAACCAAATAGTACCTCTTATCTGATTATGGAAACTATTTATCAATAAGGTGAGAATATGTCAGACCTTAAATGAGGATGTATGGTCTAACCTCTTTAAAGTCTGATCTAACCTTACCTATTTAATAAAATGGTTAAATTTAAACTTTTAAAAATATCTATTTTGGTAAAAATAGTTCTTTAATACAACTTTAATTATCATATTAAATATTTTTCTCAAATATATATAAACTTCAAATGTTATAAATAATTAATAATTTTTCATTTTAAAATTCAATTTAGTAGTTTACAATTTCATAAAATACTTTTTAAATATTATATCATATATTTGAGGAGAAAAAGTCTTTTAGTAATTTACAATTTTATAAAAAATATTTTATATTATATGTCAATTTTATATATACATGTACTATGCATTTTTAAAAGTATATGTTTTATATTATATGTCAATTTTATATATATGCATGTACTATGCATTTTAAAAAATATATATTAATATATACATGATGTTTAATTTTGTTTGAAACGATTTCACATTCTAATATAGAAATCTAATCTAAAAATAAAATCAAATCGATAATTTAGTATTTCCTAATAATTTTTAGTCTTATATATCTTCTTTATATTGTTTTTAAAAATAGGACCGCGATTTGGATATTAGATAAAGAGTTGAGCCGAGTAAATTTTTTAATTGCATGAATTGGTTTTAATTAAATTTTTTAAAAAATATTCATGTCATATATATTTTATATCAATATATTTTAATAAAATTTATATCATATCTTAAATAAGTCTTTAAAATAAAATATAATCAGTATAATATTTATAAAATAACTAAATTATAAATTGATTGAATCACATATATTAATATATAATTTTAAATTAAAAATATATTATATAAATTATTTAAACCAATTGTATAACAACAAAATATATTGGTTAAGTAGTCATTAAGGTATTAAATAATTATATTTATTAATAAATTAATATATATAATTAAATTTATAATTTTTCTAAACAGATATAGTATTAATATTATTTAACTCATACATTTAACAAGTAAAGCTTGTTTGTTTAGTGGGGAGGAAATCATTAGTCAACCAAATATTGAAACTTGTATATACCTTATCCGTCTTCAAATCAAGCATACTCAACAATTCAAGTAGTAAGAGAATACCCGTAAATAAAGTTGTCCAAAATTTGAATCTTAACCTTAAGTTTGGAATACACTCTTGGAAGAAAAATATCAACCTTATATAGGCTCATGATCTTTGGCAATAAATACTTCAAAGTTCGTACCACTACTAATAAAATGTTAAAAAAAATAGGAAATAGCAAAAGACGGGGAGAATAGCAGTAGCAGCTTTGGCATTCGTTGACAGTTCCGTTTGCTCTACAAACTCTATTTATAAACTAAGAAATGTTGTATGGCACATCAAATTTCTTATCCAGATAGTATAGTAGATAATTTCTTTATTAAGGAGCAAAATCATGATATGTTAATGGAATTTTGTGTGGGGAATGAAGGACTCCAAAAGTATGCTCAGCAACCCGGTATCAAAATCCACTGAGCATATTAACAGTTTGTGCAGAAAAGTTTGAGATTACCTGCTTATTATATTCTTGGAGGAGATGTGACATGAGTGCCACCGGAAATTACCTGCCTAATAATTACAATTCAATAGCTACAGATTTGGGGCAAATGTGAAGATTGCATAAGCAAAATCTCCAACCAAAATCCCCTACAACAGAAACAAAGGTCTTATCAGATGCAAGGCATCATCGTAGTAAAAAGATGAAGTAGAATATACAGATATTTTTACAGTATTCAAAGAAATTTAAAAAGTGATTTTCATACCATATCAAAGATAATCAGCGAAACTCATTGGGGTTTTCTTTGGTTTGGATGAGAGGAACACCATCTGTCCTCCAAACCACACGCTCTTCACATACAGCCTCCACTACCTCCACATATAATTGGTGCTCCTAAATTTGGAAATAAAAATAAAGTCAATCTGCTAAATTGCTAGTCATTTGACTGCATAAATGTCAAGGTTCGTGAATGTTTCTTATCACAAATATATTTGTTGAATTCCATTCAGGATTAAAGCCAGTCATAGTTTAAAGTGCCACCATTTTTGGGAACTGATTAATGATATAGTCTGACATTACCTCATTGAGAACCCTTGCAGCCAACTCCTCTGCAGTATCATTGGCAAGAACAGGGACCACACGCTGGGCAAGGATACGCCCTGTGTCATAGTGTTCATCAACAAAATGAATTGTGGGACCTGAAAATCTAACCAACACAGAAAAATGAAGCACAAATAAGTAAACACAAACCAAGTACAACAGTGTTTCATAGATAAAACATGCTTGAGATATTTTATGAAAAGTATACCTTGCTCCAGAAGCAATTACTGCTTTATGAACCTTCATGCCATAATAGCCCATGCCTCCAAAAGCTGGAAGAAGTGACGGATGAATGTTCAATATAGATTTTTGATAAGCTCGGATCAATTCTGCTGGTATAAGTTTGAGGTATCCAGCTAAAAGAATAAAATCGACCTCGAATTTCCTGATCAAAAAATGAATTATATGTTAATGTTAATACTGTAACCACATCTCCATGCAGCACATTGGCAGTCTTCCTCTGTTCCCTGCCATATGTGTGCTACACTCGTTTTTTTTATTTGCGTTTCAACTTTAAAGCTGATAATCCACCCATTAGATTCATTAAAACAATAACCACCAAAGTCCAAAGTTAAATACAATTGCAGGAAATGAGGTAAAGAACGACCTGACCTTAGTGTATCAACAAGGTCGGCGGGAGATAATCCATTGGATTCATCCTTTGCTTTAGGGAACAATATAACTGGGATACCATTATTTCTTGCATACTCCGCACCACCACACTCTGGTATTAAAAAAATTATATAAAAATGGAGGAATTTTAGTAAAACAGGCTAATAAAAACATAGTCCCAACATCCCAGGTCACAAAAGGTTGCTTCTTAGAGCCACATGAATAATAAAATGATCTTTGGGGCACAGGATCTTAATCCAGTTACTAATGCCAACTATGTAAGAATTTAGCTAAGGAAAATGAAGACCCAGGTCAAAAAATGAAAGTACAGGGCTAGTAAGATAGAGCATTACCACTTTTATTTGTGACCAATACAAGAACATCTCCATGAAGTGAACCCCTTTTGGAGGCCTCATGAATTGATCTAAAGTTGGATCCTCCACCGGACACAAAAACTGCTAGCTTTTTCCTTCTCACTGTCACCTCATGGCCCTCCTTTGGTTCTGCACCACTACTACTGCTACACCACACTCTTCTCCAAGAGCTAGAACACACTTCTCTGCGCACAATGCTGATAGCAGGAAAAGCTCCAGACTGAACGGAAGGGTATGAAGATGAAGAAGGCAAAGGAGGGCACATCAAAGAGAATGATTGTTTCACAAGTGGAACTGATGGAGCTAACGATGATTTTGGACAAAATCTAGGAAGAATCTGTTGGGCTTCCATGGAAATATGTTTGATGTTGTTGGAAAGGATGAAAAGGTTGAGGTTGTAGCAACGGTGGAGCCAATAAAGGTGAAGTTGGCTGAAAGGGGGAAATGGAACAAAGAATCTCGCATCAATTACAACTATTGACAGAAGAAAGCAAAAATAAATAAATAAATAACCAAAATGAGAAGGAAAATCTCAATTCGCAAACAACATAGCAACAATCACAAATGATAAGCAAAAATTCCAATAACAGATGCGAAATCACAAAATGAACGGCAACAAAGGAGCGAGACGAATAGAAGCAGAAATCTTGAGCGTTAGGACTTACAAAGGAGTGAGACGATGTTTGCGCTATGAAGCGGGTGGCGGAGAAGGAAGGGCTAACGAGAGATTCAACGGAGGAATGGTCACTACGCGAAGTTGGTCATTGGCGAAAGCGAAGAAGCACACTCTGGCTGGGGGCGGCAACGGGAAATCTTTTTCTGAAATATTGTTTTTAAAAAAATCCAAAACAATCATCAATCATCCTTAATAACAAAGGAGTAATGCCATGAATCATACATACAGGGTTTTATTCTTCAAAGACTTACCTTTACCTCCTATACTAAACTACCTTAATAATGTATGTTATTATTCCTAGATCCATGTGAAAAGTATTTGACTAATATCTCATTCTAGTTCCCCATTTCAAACCTTCCCCTTTACAGGTATGTCCCCACTTATTAAAATCTGACGTGGGCAAAGCCATGTCATAGCAATGTCCTCCCTTTTAATTTTTTAAGCATTTTCCCCAAGAAAGGAATAAATAGAAATAATTAGGTCTTTTCTTATATCCTCAATTTCTGACAAAGGCCCCACTGTTAGTCCTAAAATGATTACATATCAAAAATCAGCTCAGTGATTCCAAAACCACTTAAACACCTTAACCCTTGGTACCAAAACGGCCAGCCCATTTGTGATTTTCATGATCTATAAATATATCTTAAAATATTTACTGCATTCCAATGTGTTCATAAAAGGTCATGACATCAAGAGGCACCAAGGAATAAGCATATGTTGAACCTAACATTGGTTTTCTTTTTCATTCGTTCATTCATGCCATGTCAGAAAAATCATCTGTCCTCTTATTTTCTGCCTCTCCTCATTTCATTTCCCGGACAATACATTCAAATAAGCTTTATGTTCTTCTTAATCCCATCCCCCTACTTGGAAAACTATGTTTTGAGTCTTTCAACTCATTGACTGCACTGATAACAGTCATAAAATATACAAATTGATAATTGATATTAGGATTAGGAACTGTAACGATATAAATAAATTAAAACAGATGACATAATGTCCTAATTTAAAACAAAGGAATCTAGAAAGCAAGGTTGTTAACTTATTAATAACAAGTGTGTGTGTGTTTGGTCATATATCTATAAATTGTTAAACAAGAACGGAATATATTAAAAAGATCTTTAACTCCTAAGCATCTACTTGAATTTCAAAACGTGCTAAAAGCATTGTCCTAGATTGAAGCCAACACCCTAAATGGCCATCGAATTTATGTTGCTTTATCCTATTATCCTAATTGGAACAGATAAATACCGAGACTCTGAGGGGAAGTTTTAGTTTAAAAATGGAAATAGACAAATACTATTTTTCCTTTGATTCCATCACTGACCCAAATAACTTTAAAAAATGACAATCTACCAATTCTTGTCCATGCCTGGTAAATATTGTTAGTAATGTATTTTTGACCAGGTAAAGCTTAAAAGGTGAGACAAGATACCTGCACTGCTCTTCCACCATCAAGGCACCCCACTGGAAGCATGTTAAAAGCTTGTATGGTTAAGCCACACCTGCAAAATCATAATAAATAAATTAATTAAGTAAATAAGGCATATTGTAAAAAATGAATGCTCAACTGTGTTTGGAACCACAAATTTATTAAATTGATTTGTCGATGAAATTAAATTAGGATACAGGAGGAAAAGTTGAATAGCAGATCAAAACTCAATTCTCACATAAAAACAAAATCCATCGCATTCACAACTTAGCATGAAACTTACGACCCCAGGCCCAGCCAAATTGATAGAATTTTCCGATGATAATTGAGTGAAGAAATATCTTACAAAACTTTAATCTCAAGCTTCTCTCCTTCTTGCCCCCAATTCAAACAGAATATTTAGAAATACATTCCCACACCAAAAAAGTTTATAGAAATAAAGAAGAGATGGTGTCACGCAGTAAGTGAATATCAAAAAATTATGTCATGCTTAGATAAACATCACCATAAACACTTGTAAGTGAAAAATAAAAAAGGTAGAATAATTGAGATTTTCTCATATGCTAACTCAACTTATGTACATCATCAGAAATTGTTAAGTTCATAAGTTGATTTTAACCTACAAGAGAGTTCAATTTTCATTTTACATTATTTTATATTCTTCTCGTATAAAAAAAAATCGTCGAAACATTCCTTACTTAACAAAGAAAATTACATCGCAACGATGATAGTGCAAACCTTTCTTGAGTCCAGGCGACACATCTTCTCCTCTGAAGAGGAGAGGAACCTCAACTTTCAACAAAGCATGCGAACAAGCTTTCAATTGAACCAGCGAAACGAGAGAGGATTTTCAAAAGTTGAACACGCTTCGCATCATCATCAAATACCGAGAGAGGGAGAGAGAGAGGTAACCTTGCGCGGCAAGCCGGGGAAAGCCGTCAAGGTAGGTATGCTCCGGCTCCGGCTCCGGGGGTGGAGGAGGAGGGCGGCGGTGCGGGGAGAGTCTGGTGAGGATGCGGCGGGGGAGATAGATGGCGAAGGGAAAGGGAGAAGAAGAGTTAAGAAAGGGTTTTGTTTTGGTTTGATGCTTGGTCGCTCTCTCACTCACTCACTCACTACCTAATATATTCACCATGAGATTTATTAATTTATAACTATGATAAAAAGATAGATAAAAGAATTTTATTTTTACACACTTATTCTTTTAATATTAGATAAATATATAGAATCACATGACATCACTCCAAGATATTGTACCTTGCACCTTAAATCCTAAAATAAATCATCCATCACAAATTACATGTAAATACTTAATTGCAAAATGAACTGACTCTGTTACAAATATTATTTTAAAAATTTTGTTTTTACACACTTATTATTTCAATATTAAATAAATATGTAGAGTCATGAAAGGTCACTCCAAGATATGAACCACCCTAGTGCCAGTGGCATTGAAGTTTAGGTGGCGGTGGAGGTGAAGAACACCTATGTAATCAACCTTTTTTTCTTTTTGTATCAGCGAAAGTTAATTTGATCTGAAATTATTTAAATAAAATGTAACAAAATAAAGATTAGACTTAATTATATTTTTTGTCCTTTTAAATGTGGGATATGTATTTTTTTCTTTAAATTTAAAATTTGTATTTTTAGTATCTAAAAATATATAAAAATATATATATATATATGGTGCGGAGTATGCAAGAAATAATGGTATCCCAGTTATATTGTTCCCTAAAGCAAAGGATGAATCCAATGGATTATCTCCCAGTGACGTTGTTGATACACTAAGGTCAGGTCGTTCTTTACCTCATTTCCTGCAATTGTATTTAACTTTGGACTTTGGTGTTTGTTGTTTTAATGAATCTAATGAGTGGATTATCAGCTTTAAAGTTGAAACGCAAATAAAAAAAAAACAAGTGTAGCACAAATATGGCAGGGAACAGAGGTGCTGCATGGAGATGTGGTTACAGTATTAACATTAACATATAATTCATTTTTTGATCAGGAAATTCGAGGTCGATTTTATTCTTTTAGCTGGATACCTCAAACTTATACCAGCAGAATTGATTCGAGCTTATCAAAAATCTATATTGAACATTCATCCGTCACTTCTTCCAGCTTTTGGAGGCATGGGCTATTATGGCATGAAGGTTCATAAAGCAGTAATTGCTTCTGGAGCAAGGTATACTTTTCATAAAATATCTCAAGCATGTTTTATCTATGAAACACTGTTGTACTTGGTTTGTGTTTACTTATTTGTGCTTCATTTTTCTGTGTTGGTTAGATTTTCAGGTCCTACAATTCATTTTGTTGATGAACACTATGACACAGGGCGTATCCTTGCCCAGCGTTTGGTCCCTGTTCTTGCCAATGATACTGCAGAGGAGTTGGCTACAAGGGTTCTCAATGAGGTAATGTCAGACTATATCATTAACCAGTTCCCAAAAATGGTGGCATTTTAAACTGTTGACTGGCTTTAATCCTGAATGGAATTCAACAAATATATTTGTGACAAGAAACATTCATGAACCTTGACATTTATGCAATCAAATGACTCGCAATTTAGCAGATTGACTTTATTTTTATTTCCAAATTTAGGAGCACCAATTATATGTGGAGGTAGTGGAGGCTGTATGTGAAGACCGTGTGGTTTGGAGGAAAGATGGTGTTCCTCTGATCCAAATCAAAGAAAACCCCAATGAGTTTCGTTGATTATCTTTGATATGGTATGAAAATCACTTTTTAAATTTCTTTGAATACTGTAAAAATATCTGTATATTCTACTTCATCTTTTTTACTATGATGATGCCTTGCATCTGATAAGACCTTTGTTTCTGTTGTAGGGGATTTTGGTTGGAGATTTTGCTTATGCAATCTTCACATTTGCCCCAAATCTGTAGCTATTGAATTGTAATTATTAGGCAGGTAATTTCCGGTGGCACTCATGTCACATCTCCTCTAAGAATATAATAAGCAGGTGGATTTTGATACCGGGTTGCTAAGCATACTTTTGGAGTCCTTCATTCCCCACACAAAATTCCATTAACGTATCATGATTTTGCTCCTTAATAAAGAAATTATCTACTATACTATTTGGATAAGAAATTTGATGTGCCATACAACATTTCTTAGTTTATAAATAGAGTTTGTAGTTGGCCCACGTGACCGATACGGTCTCTCCGGTACAATAACAAAATGAGTTATTTTTACTGAACTTTCAGATGAAAATTTTGCAATCCGATCAATTTTAAACAATTTAATTGCATAAACGATTCAATAAATTATGCTTCTTTTTCACTCGCCATAAAATGGATAATTACCATTTTTTTTTATATAAACTTACATAGAGGTTAAAAGTTCAAACTAACTATTGGTTTTACATGTTTTTATTCTCTAAAATTTCTTTATTTGATTTTAGTCCTCAAAATTTGATTATCCTATTATGATTCTTTTAATTTAAAACACATAATATTTTGTTCTCAAAGTGATTTAAGGATCAAAATTGATGTTTAGAGAGATCAAAATTGTTATAAAAAAAAAATAGAGAGAGAGACTAAAATCAATTTTAAAAAATTTTAGTAAGACCAAAATATATTTTTACCATAAAAGGTATAACAATATAATAAATTACAATGTAAATTGTTATTAGCAAAGATTTTTGAATTAATCAATAACATCTAACATAATTGGTAGATAGTTGAATTCTTAAACACCCGAACAAGAGTTTGATTTCAAAAGATGTGTAAAAAAAATTGTTAAAAAAAGGTAAAATTCATTTTAATGATCTTTATGTTTCATATAGCTTTAGTCTCTCACTTCTGATTAAATATACCCTTAGTAAAAAAAAATTGTGTTTGTAGCAAGATTATCTAACATGAAAATAGAAGTTAAAAAAAATTAAAAAAAAAAGAGAAGATATTGGGTTGTTGAATAGCTAATGCAGATATGAATGATCAATATTGCACATGACCCATGTGAATTGCAGACCTACCATTGTTTTCATTAATCCATTCATTGGCCCATAATGAATTTTATGATTTTATCATTGACCTTATACTATTTTATTTTCTTACAAGTTCTTCTTTTTTATCTTGTCAATCAACAAGGGTGCTATATATTTAGGCAAGAACAGGAATTGAGTTGTTAGTTTTGATGTCTCTATCTCCTTCAAAAGGAAAAGACAATTGGGTTGTTATATTCGAACTTTCTTTATTCAAAAACTAAAGCAGAGAAGAAACGTAACGTAAGCTTTAGCATTTAACGAGAATCAAATCTTTCTTGGTGTCAAGTCATAGCAAATAAAAGAGGATAAAGGGAAAATATTTAAATAATTTACTTTATCTTATATTGGTTTCCTTTTACTCTCAAATTTAAATTGATGATGGTTCACCCTCATCAGCTCAATTGGTGACTTAGAAAAGAGAAAATTTGTGAGAAACAATCATCATTTCATTCATAAATTCAGTGTTTTTTTATTATTGAAAAATATTAGTATATAAATAAGTAATGGTTAAGTAAAAAGATATAACTTATATGCAAAATTGTTGAATTACATACTGTGTATAGGGATGGCAACGGGGTAGGGCGGGTACGGGTTTTATGATACCCGTTCCCGTCCCCGCGAGTCAAATCCATCTCCATCCCCGTACCCGCCGGGTATGTGATTTTCATCTCTATCCCCGTCCCCGTCAGGTATCGGGTATACCCGTACCCGTACCCGTCAATTTTTTTATTTTTTATTTTATGTAAAAAAATAATATTTTTAAATTATTTTTTTTATTATATTATAATTATAATTAAGTTATTTTTCTATCTCATATTATAATAAATAATCACACATAAAAAATATTAATTTTTTTTTAATATAATTAAATTAAAAGTGAGTATTAAATTAAAAATGAAAACGGTACGGGTACGGGTACGGGTACGAGGCGGGTAAGTACATACCCGTACCTGTACCTGTACCCGATTTAATATATCGGGTTTTACCCGTACCTGCACCCGGTCAAACCGGGTATTCTCCGTCAAAGTCGAGACAGATTCGGATATTACCCGCGGGTACGAGTATATTTGCCATCCCTAACCGTGTACGATAGAATTTCAATTACCATATTGGTTGAAAAGAAAGTCAAAATATGGTCACAAGTTTTCCCAATTTGGATCACTTTGTTTAGTGTTTATAATTTCTTTAATCCAATTCAATGATTGTGCAAAAAAGTTTCCTAATTATTCACTGGAAAGTGTTTGAACCCTCTTTTTCATAGGGACTAGGCTCTAAAATCAAGATCATATTATATAATTATATCCTAATTCCCAAATCCCAATTCATCTCTATTGAGTTATGATCCGATTAATCATATTTCACAAGCACAACAGAATTGCAAGCACCCCCACCTTCAAATTATTAATTCAAAAAACTTTGGAGCATTTGGTACGTTGTCATTTTAACGTAAGATGCTTATGCTTATGCTTGTGCAGTTTAATCCAACGCTTCTTGTTAACAGCAATATTTATTTGTAATTTTTTGTTAAAACATATATACTATATTTCAAGAGCTAAGATGGTTGCAGTTTATGAAGAAACTGTAGAGGATCTTAAACCGCTTGTACCCAACCATCTTTGACCAAAGCAAATTTAAAAAATTGTTAAATTATATTTTTGATTTTTAATTTTTTAAATATTTATTATGGTCTTTTGTCTTTTAAATTTGGATTAATTTGATCCTTTTAAAATAATAATTATTTTCAATAGATTAATTTTTTAGCCATTTCAAGACTTGAAATTCATTTCGTTAGACTCACTTGTATAAAAATTGTTGAACGCAATTAAAATTTAAATAAAAAATATTATAAACATGATGAAAATTACATAAAAATAAGTCCAAAAGATAATTAAAATTTTAAAAACTACAATTTCATACTATCTTCTAGTTGTTTATTAGACATATTTTTACACGATTTTTATTATGTTATAACTCTTATAAATTCAAACGTTAATTAAATTTTGTAGTTTTTATATAGTTGAATCTATTGTTACAAGTTTCATGTCTCAAATCAGTTGAAAATTGATTTAATATTGAGTTACAAAATTAAATTTTTTTTTTAATAGGACCAAATAAATCCAACTATAAAAGATAAAGGATCAAAATAAATATTTTAATAAATAAATGACTAAAATAAATCTAATAAATAAGATAAAGGACCAAAAGAATAATTTAACCTTTAAAAAATCTTATGTTCCTATAATATACCAACTACCAAGTAAAATATCTCTCTAAAAAAAACTAAAATATCTTTTCCAAGAGATGCGAGAGCTACAAACATCTCATTACTTGGAAAATTAACTTGGGATATTATGCACTCAACTCATAAACCCTGGGAAGTATTATCCAATAAATATCCTTATAATAGTAGTATTTTGTGCATTCCTAAACCAAAAAATGCTTCCTATGTGTGGAACAACATTTTAAAAGCTACAAATGCCCTTTTGAAAGGATTTGGTCCAAGGTTAGGAGCTAGTACCTCTAATTTCTGGTTCTTTAATTAATTGGGGACCGACCTAATTGTCCATCATGTTTCTTATGTAGAGGTAATAGAGTCTAACTTAAGAGTGGTTGACCCCTAGAGAAATGGTTCATGGGATCTATCATAATTATACGACATTTCTAGCACCTTTGAATGATGTTATTAACATTGTTTCCATCTCTAGGAACTCAGAAGGAGAATACAAGATTATTTGGCTTGAGAATTCTTGCAAAGTCTACTCAACAACCTCGGCATATAGTTGGCTCCAATAATCACCCCCACAAATGGGGATCCCATATGGAAATGAATCTAGAAGGTTAATGCACCTGAAAAACTTCATTTCTTTCTCCAGCAAATAGCTCATGCAACTATTCCAACCAACTCCAGGAGGTTTGCTTGCAAGCTTGCCACAAGTGCAACTTGTACCAGATGTTTTGTAGCTGAAGAAACTCACTTACACATCTTTTGTGATTTCCCACCTTCGAGGGAACACTAGATTCAAATGAGAGTGTTAACATATAGTATGTTCACAATTACTAATATTCATGATTGTTGATAACTATTCTGAAGCATAATGAGGCTTTTCATTTTATGGCAATAATTTGGTGTACTTGGAAGTGACATAACAATATGATTTTTGAACATTTCCATTGGTCTATGAATCATGTCTTAAATATGATTTGTTTAACTATGGTGGATATGAACATTTATTCTCAAGAAAATAGAGTCCTTAGAGATAATGTTATTCATTGAATGCCCTCCTCCAAGGGTGTTGTCAAACTAAATACAGATGGAGCAGCAAAATACTATGGGCATTAATGGCATTCTTTGTTGCCAAGGAGAATGGTTGTTTGGTTTTCACCAAGGGCTTGGAAGTGATGACTCACTCTTTGCTAAGCTAGAGGCTCTTCATTAAGGCTTAATTTGTGTACATCAATTAGAATATAAGAGATTTGAGTGTAATATTGACTGTCTAAAAGTAGTTCAAGTTATAACTAGGTTAGAGGAAACTTAGATCAACATCCACATGCATGCAACAATCATTCGGGATGTCAAGCAAATACTCTAGAGAGACTGGCAAGTGACTCTTAGTCACACCCCTCGCATAACAAACAACTTGGTAGATTGTTTAGTCAAGCTTGGAGTTCGAAACTAATTAACAAAACTCTCAAACATTCATGACCCCACATCATGAAGTCTTAGATACTTTTATTCGTGATTTAGCTTTTGTAATTAGTTATCTTTCTTTACTTTGTGTTTTTTTTCCTTATTTCATTACTCTACCAAAAAAAGAGTACTATCATCATCAAATTTGTTACGTGAACTTACTTGACAAGTATGACGATTTGTTATTATTTATCAATATTTACTTTTTTTAGCAAATATAATGTTTATTATTGTGATGTATTGTACTTTAGTCACTTTTGAAAAGCACATAAAAGTTGAGCATAGGCCATCAATCTGTATACTTGTATAATAATTTTGCATCAGTTGTATAATTTTGATATATTTGTAACATTACAATTTTGATAAAGCCCCTGTTTGATATCAAACTCATGTATTAGTTGATGGTTCAATTGTATTTTTTTGGTAGTTTTTAATTCAAGTTTTAGTATGAGCGTTCATGGACCAAATTAGGTTGAGTTTGACCAAATCTATTTAAAAAATTATAGGAAAAATTGTTAACATATAATTTGAACTAAAAAAGTTAGTATTGTATCAATTGAAAATTAATCCTTGTGGTTCTTTGTAAAAAAAAAAAAAAATATATATATATATATATATATATATTTTGACTTTAATTATTTTGTATACAAATCAAACCAATTTATTTTCTTTTATTTATAGTTTATTTGAATAAATTTTAAATATTTAAATACATTTTAATCTTTCATTTTTGGGGTTAATTTATTTTCTACTCTCCAAATTTAAAATCAATAATTTTAGTCCAATAATTTTAAAAAAGTTTGTTTTAGTTTCTTAAGACCACCTCCAACATTATTGACAAGGACAACTTGAGTAATTATGCATAGGAGTGACAAAACGAGTTGAACCTGAGCCAATTTGTCTAAGTGTCAAAATTGGCTAGGTGGATTAGGTAGTTAATACACTAATTTGTCCTAACCTACCCTACCAACTCAAAAAGTTGAAAGTAAGGCAGAGCAGATTGATCGATGTAGTCCACCTCCAACGCACCTCTAACCCAACAATATTTAATTTATATATAAATAAATTTACATTTTTATATAATTAAAAAGGGTACAATGTGTACATGTTTATAAAATAAATTATTATTACTATTAATATTTTTCCTTTATTTTCTTTTATTTTGAATTTTTTTAGTGGACTTAGACAGGTCAACCTATCATTTTATAACCTATCATTTTATAACTAATCATTTCATCATATGGAAAGTCAACACACTAACCCATCACTAAACAAGGTAAGTAAGGTTTTTTAATCAATGTTCCTTCATAGCCAAGTCAACTTGCATCACTTAAGGTGAGTTGATAGAAGGGTAGGTTGGGGCAAGGTATCCCATTTTGTCACTCCTAGATACTACCAATTAAGCTAGAACAATTTTATATTACTTTATTCATGTGTTCGATGATACTAATAGTGTTTGGACAAATGGACTTTTTTCTTTCTTTCTTCAAATTATAGATACTAAAAAGTTATTAATTTTAAATTTTTGGAATAAAAATAAATTTATCTGATTATTTAAAGCACTAAAAATAATTTGAGCCTATTTTAAAATATGAAAATATTTTTAAGATTTAACATTTATTATTTGAATATCGATAGGTAGTTAAAGTTTTTTAAATTTTTTTTAAAAAAATACTACATTAATTTCAAAATAAATTTAAATTTTAGTAAGCATTAATAGTAGTGGTTTTGATTTTTTTTTCTCCCTCTAAATTGACAACATTGAAATAATTATTCCTTTTTAATAGTTACTTGACACATTTAAATTGGGATCTTTGACTCACAAATTAAGTAAGTCAAATTAAAATTTATTAAAAATTAGAACACATTTTTATTTTTTTACCTAACCTAACCTAGACCCATAGTGAATCAGATTAATCCAATGAATTGGAGCTTACTTTGACCCCTATGATATTATTATATAACACTTACATCATTTTAGTGTTTTTTAAATTCCAAAACCAAAATATACGCAATGTTAGATAAAAAGGATAAATTACAGTTTTTTCTTTGTATTTTACATGCTAGTTGATGCTACTAATAAAAAAATGCTCTTATTAGAATAATTTATCCTTCTTCCAAATCTCTCATGATTGGACAATAATTCTGATTAGAAAGTAATATTATTTGTCATCATCCCGACACAAGTATGTCTAATTTTCATCTACCCCACTAGAGAAAGAAAAATTATAGATATAATACATACGTACCTAAAACTATATCGGCATAATTGAACCCTATTTTTCCTTAATTATTCATAGAATACTTGAATCTAATTTATCGATAGCTAAAAGAAATGGTCCATTCTTTGTTCGAGAAGTATTTTAATATATTTTGCACATTGAACGACAAAGCAAAGCTTTTGACTGGGTTTTAAAGCAACCTCAATTAAATTTGGCAAAAATTAGAAACTGTCAAATTCAAAGTCAAACAAACAAAATGTGAGCTTTGATATAGATATTTTTTGACAAAATTGCTTTGATATTTTATAACTTGTTTTCTCGGTCGGAAGAATGACACTTCTTGTTTGAACAAAAAAAATTCAGTAATATTTTGACCACTTACATATAACATATTATTAAATCTTGTTGGCATCAGAGAAGTGAAAAATTAGTTAGGACTTAGGACTAGTAGGTGAACTGAACAACAAGAAGTACCTTCTTTTAAAAGCCGTTTTCTTGATTTTACTTTTTCCTTGTGAGATACCATTTTTTTCCCGAGAAATCACCTAACATGGGAACGTGGACCCTCTTACATTTCAGCATGACACCATGCCCTTTGATATGTGTATCTATAGTCCATGTCATCAATCACACACCAACTGAAACACAAATTCTCACTACCCCAGTACTCCATTCAAAGTATTTGTATGTAGCGTGTAATAGAAAAATGAATTGAGAGAGGAACGAGGACTGAGTCAGTTGCTTGTGTAGCAAGTGTGGTGTGAATGTGACTTTGATTTGAGCAACATGACCTGAGTCATATTTTAAGGTTTCTGAGACATGAAGTGAGGGTTTTCCATCTGGTTGGATCATTCCTGGGGCCAAGAAAGTGAAAGAAAATCCAAGAAACTCTTGGGGGGATTTGAATTGTGAGTGCATTTCAAATGCAATAGACTAGTCAACATAACATGGCCATGGTGAACAACTTTAATATCACCACACAACCACAGAGCATCCAAATTCAAGCACAAGTTCCACAGCACAGGCTTCAAATCACACACCCCATCAAGGTTTTGTCTTTCTCTCTCTCTCCCTCTCTTTGTTCCTTTAATCCTTTGTTCTTTACAGTATCTTTAACTTCCTTTTGTTTCATTCATCTTCTTTTGGGGTTGCTTCCCCAACAAGCTTATCTGCTGCCGACACATCTATTTTCGTGTAGTTCTCTGAGTCTTTCCTATCGCTTGTTTAATCAACAGAAACCTTTCTCACTTGTAAATTACATTCTTCAGCACTGCATTTGATATGTATCTTTTGGTTGGAAAAATATGTCAACTTAGTCATTTTTGGTGCAGGCACAAGATTCAAGCTTTCCCAATAGAACAACAGTGGCGGGTCAAACAGCCAGAAGGGTCTTCCAGATTCTCTTCTACTTGCATTTGTTCCTAGTTGCAATCTTGGTGATTTTTCTTACCATATATGGTCTTGTCTCTGACGCTCACACTCACCATTTCCATCCCAACAAATGGTACCCCCAAATTCTTGCATCAACAACAAGTGCTGGAATTGTTAGTTTCACATGGCAATGGATCACGGCACGCCACCCCACAAAGGTGGTAAGGTTAGCATTTTGGCTGAGTCCCCTCCTAACATGTGCAATGGGAATTATGTTTGTGTGCATTGGCTCTGCAGTGAGTCTGGCAGTTGGGGTAATTGCTTTGGTTTCTGCTTTAATTCAATCCCTCTATGGTTGTTGGGCCAGTCCCAGATTTGAATATGCCACCAGAATCTTGTCAGTTTCAATAGCTTTTCCTCCTAACAAAACCAAGGAACTAACCCTTTCATCAACCCTCATTGGTGTCCTTTACTGTTGTTTCCTGGTGGCTGGGATTGGCGGAGCTAGAGCTATTGAAAACAGAATCAAACTAGCAGCTTTTTTCATCTTCTTGATTTTGCTTAGCCTAGGATGGACTATGCAGTTTCTGAAGAATGCTATGTACGTCACTATTTCAAGGGTCAAGTATATGCATTTTGCTGGAGGAGTTGACATGGACACTAGAGTGGCATTTTATCACACAATCAAGCACTTGACTGGATGTGTCCATAGGCTCCATTCTTGTTCCCATCATCGTACTCTTCCGGGGTTTCGCACGCGCCATGAGTCTGGTTGGAGGAGATACAGATGAGTTCATGTTTTCATGTGTTAGCTGCTATATGGGGATTGCATCTCTTCTTGTGATCCGTGGGAACAGATGGGGTTTTGTGCACGTTGGAGTTTATAACAAAGGGTTTGTGCAAGCATCTTCTGATACTTGGGAGATGTTCATTAGAGTTGGACTGGTGCAACTGATAGACTTGGATCTCACTGGGGTTTTCTGTTTCCTTAGTGGGGTTGGAATAGGTGCAATCTGTAGTCTAGTGAGTGGAATTTGGAGTCTTGTAATGCACAAGAGCTATGCCACAGAAGTATCCATTTATTCTTTCCTCATTGGCTATTTCATGGTAAGAACTAATAATTGGTTGCATATGACAATTTGAGTGCTTCTATTCTCACTTATATCGATGCTAATTATCTTTTGCCTCACTTCAATGCCAATGATAAACGATCCTTAACACGGTACTGATGTTTTGTGCAGTGTCGGTTGGCTATTGCATGGGCACAAGCATGTGTTTCAGCTTACTATGTTGCCTACGCAGAGAATCCACAGAGCACTCAGTTTGACTCGACTATTCCAGTACGCTTGGAGCAGCTTAATAGATCTCAAGCTTTGCAAATATTCAGAGCTAATAATTTGATCTGAGTCTGAATACTGAAGGAACACTAAATCAAGTTAGCTACATTATCCCCGAGATTTGGAAGGACAATTTTGCATTGTATTTGTACATAATGATTTAACTTTGATGTAGTCTTGAATTATGATAATATAGACAGCTCCATTCAGTTAGGTTAGGACTGATAGTCATGCTGACAAAGTACAACTGAAACAACAAAAACATAAAAATAATATATATATATATATATATATATATATATATATAATAAAATAAAAAATACACCACTAAATATTAAATTAAATGGGCATTATTTCATGGAAGATTTTCCTTAAAGAAATAAATCATCAACTGAATATAACTTTCATGTAAATTTATTACAAGTAACCATCGCTGTGAGCAAAGAAAATACTTCGAGAAACCACATAATTAAGAATAAATATGGCAGCCACTTGTGCTAGTGGCAGAGATTTTTGTAAGATATCGTAGGTTTCAGTCATAACGACTCCTTGATTTACAAAAAGAAAAAAAAATTATTACAAGCAATATTAACCAAACTATTACGTATTGGTGGTACAACAAAACTCCAAAAAGTCAGACATGATCATTTAAGTCCCAGATGACCTCGTCCCCCACATTCAGCGCACATTATATTACCACTTCCCCCGCAACCTACATGCAAATAAAAACATTGTCACCAATAAGGATCACAATCATCTACAGTTGAAAATACAACTGCACAAGTATATGACATTTGCTTTATATACACATAAAAATTATAAACATAATATAGCAAATTGCAGCTGTAGGATCATAGTTACACGTGGTGCTGCAGAAAGCCAATTGCAGTAGATCCTGTTTGCACCAATAAAGATGCTCAGCATCATAGAGTTAGATGATGATGATGATGACGGCGATCATGCAAATGCATCATTTTAATCTAGCTATTAGTAGGATGTCACAACAAATTTGTACCACATAGCATACAATCTTGTTTTAGTTCAAGTTATACCAATTCTCCATTTAAAATTTTTAAAGTTGTTTCATTCAAAGTCCTCACAAAGAAACAAGCTCCAGTTGTTCATCTAAGCATTAAAAAAAAGAAAAGAAGTTTAAGCTAAAATTGGTCATCCACAAAATCAAGGAAATTCTATCAGAGAACAGCTTCCACAAATAAGTGAACCAAAACATGCTATTGGTAACAATACAAAATAACAAAAAATCATACTGCAATCATAGTTAAACACAAGTAAGGTGTAGGAGATCTTGCAGAAGGCACATATCAAACAAGAATGTTTTAGAACAAGGAAAAGAAGATACCTAAGCAACGAACTTTGACAATTATGCCCTGGCTTTCCAATATGGAGTCAATGTATAGACCAGATCCAGCACAAGTGGCACAAAGCACAGCACCTTTGGCATGACAATCAGTGCATCTTGGATTGTTACCAATAGCTTTCTCTTCCAGAGATAACCCAACAGGCTTCTCAATTCTTTCTTCTGGAATAGCCTTATCATAACAAAACAGAGATTCAAGATTACTTCTGCGTTTGTTCTCGTCTGCCTTTAAACTTGACACAGGCTGAAACATAAGAAAATAGTTAGATGAGACATCCATTCAACAAAGGCCAAACTTCTGCATAAGTAGTATTAAAAAAGCTCTCCAATCTTGTTGAATATCCATCCAAGGAACATAACCCCCAATAATCCCCCCATCAGGAAAATTATCCAGCTCTTTTAAGATATTTCTCCTTCCTGGGCTTTTATATAGATGCCTTTGCGGTAATTTTATCAATAATGTATAGAACACCTTAAGGCTTTTAGGCTTTGTACAGCAGGCAACAAAATAACAAAAACTCTGGGAGATAAGTTCATTTTGACAGCAAAGGAATACACAATATATCGAGTGTATTCTAAATTGTGTCCAAAATGGGCGGGGCAATCCTACATGTCTCAATAACCAAGGATTTTACTAAAACGAAAGCACAAAGTATTTTGCAAAAAGATATCCACTTACCCTATAACAACATGAAAAAATGATATAATGTCTACATTTCCCTAGAGACACTGAAAATAATTCCAAAACAATTTGAAGACTACAGTTGTACTCAAGGAAAAACAAAATAATAGAACCCATTCATAAGAAAATTAGGCAATCAAAATATGTATCCACCAACTAATTAGTAACATACTCAATTCTAAGTGTTCAATCCAATAAAACCCCAGGTTATTGTACTTATTGAATATAAAAGCTTATTGGCCTGGTGTTATCCAAATTATTTAAGGCTTACTCAATATGCAAAATCAATAGATCATTCCATTTAATTTTTCTCACCATCTATGACAAATACAAGGTAGTCAACATTGAGATAATACCTAAGATTGGAAGAGTGAGTGAAACAAATATGTGAGATTGTAATGCGGATCGTAAGGTCCTACTTATATAATGCATACGAGGGTGAAAACTCAAGAACAATTCATTATTTAATAGACAATTGTTTCTTACAATTAACACCATTGGATGTTACCATCAGAGACACAAAACAGATCCGAAAAACTATTTGATCATTGAACAAAACAGAACATGAGCAAATAACAAACAAGCAAGCAGCAAAGCAAACAACTAGAAGCAGAGGCATGTCAAATTAGAAGGGAAGTGGTCAAACCACCACCTACCCTCTCTTTTGGTTCCCCCCCCCCC